GTAGACATCTTGCGCAACTTTTGTTTTCTTGGCTTAATGTCTGGCTTGACTGCTAGGTGATGCATGATGAGATCCGCCGGGACACCCCCCACCTCGTCAGGGCTCTAGGCGAAGATATCGATGTTCTTTTTCAGCACCTCTAGGATACTCTCAACTTCTTCTTCGCCCTTGTCGCCCCCCAGTGATACGAGCTTTGTGGGGTCGGCATCATCAATCTGCACTTTTGTTATCTTGCCGTGAGGGGTAGGCTTTGGCGTGTGCTTCGGCCGTTCATGCGGTTCGGTCTCAACACTGTGCACTGCTCTGTTGATTATGGCTAGATCGCCTTTTGAAGCGGCCGAAGGCTGAAGCCCCTTGACTACTATCACCCCTATCGGGCCGGGCATCTTGAGCTTGAGATAATTGTGGTGGGAAATGGCTTCGAACTTGTTCAGGGTTGCACGCCCGAAGATGGCATTGTAGTTGTACGGGATGTCGACGACATCGAACAGTATTTGCTCTTCGCGTCTGTTCTCCCCCGAGCCAAAGGCTATTAGCAAAAGTGCTTGGCTGAGAACTTGAACTGTTTCTCCGCCGAAACCGCGGAGCGATGCTGGTGCTAGGGTAAAGGCTTGGGTAGGCAACCCCATCTTGGCATATGCTTCGGCGAAGATAACATCGGCCGAACTCCCTCCGTCGACCAGGATTCGTCGAACTTCGAAACCAGCTATCTCAGCTGAGATTACCAGGGGATCTTGATGCAGGAACATAACTCCTTCTGCGTCTTCCGGCCCAAAAGAAATTAGCTGGTTCAGATATTGCGGCGCCCCTTCGCCCACCAAAGTGATGTTGTGGACCATACGGATCTGCATCTTCTTCTGCCGTTTGGACAACTGGCTTGGCGGGTCGGCCCTTGTAATCACTTGGATTATCCTTCGCTGTGCATCTTGGCGTTGTTCGGCTGGGGGTGTTTGCTCTTGAACTACTTCGCGGGGTGCTTCGACAGTTGTTTCCTGCTGCGGCCTTGGGTCTTGCGCGTTGCCACGTTGCCTAATGTTTCGGCATTGCTCCGTGGTGTGCGAAGAGCGTCCGTGATAGGCGTAGTAGAGATCTTTTCGGACCTTCTTGCGGGCTGGCTGCTGATGATTGCTTGCTTGCTGGGCGTCGAACTCCTTGCGGAGGGCTTGCACTTCTTCGACAGCCATCACAGTCTTGCCCGCACGGTCTGTTCTGAACTTTCTCCAAGTCATGGGGGCTTGGCCTTGCCTTGGCGGCTGTCCTTGGATCGCTGGCTGAGACTGGCGAACTGAGAGGGGAGGTGGTTCGACAACTTGAACTTGTGCTTGAGCTTGAGCAGCGGCGACAGAGGCTTTGTCGTACTGAACTTGTATAGCTTGTCGTCGCTTGGAATCCTCCTCGCCTCTTACGAACCCGTCAATGATGCGAAGTAGGTGCTCGAGCATCTGTGGCTCCTTGTTGGCGATTTTTCTTGTGAGTTCGCCCTCGAGCAGACCGGCCGAAGCGGCGTTTATAACCGACACCTCGGTTATGTCTTGAACTTGGCACCGGGCTTGCGAGAAGCGATGCATGTACTTCCTTATCGACTCCCCTGCCTTTGGCGAATGCCGAGAAGATGTTGCTGCGTCTTCGGCTCCTCATAGGTGCCTCGAAAGTTAAGGACAAAAACATCGCGCAATTGCTCCCATGAGTAAATGCTATTGGCTGGTAAATTGAAATAACAAGAACGGGCGATGCCGTCTAGAGCGAGATGTATTACCTTTGCCTTGGTAATTTTGTCACCATGAGCCGCTTCGATCGCTGACTCGTAGATGGAGAGGAACTCCTTCGGGTCAGTTTCGCCTGAATAGCGCGGGACGGGTGGGAACTTGAATTGGGGTGGGATTAGACGAGTCTTGATTCCCCCACTCAGCGGTAGCCCCTTTTCGCCTCCCGCCCTGTTTACCGCACTTTGATGCGGGTACGGTGTGGCCAAGGGCAAAATCGCAGCTTGTGCGTGAGGTTGGGCCATGGTATTCGACTGCCCGGCTCCAACTGGAGGTACTTGCTGAGCCGCCATGGATGGGTCAAAAATTGGCTGCGACCACGTTGTGGCAGCTTGGATTGGTGCTTGGTTTGTTTCGAAGCCTGGAATTGGAGCTTGCTGCCGAACAGTTGGTGCCTGAGCAGCGTTGACGAAGTCGAACTGCGGTCCTTGATTCCATGGCGAAACTCCCAGGCCCGGCTGAATCGGTGGTAACCAATTAGGTGCACCTTGACTTGTATTCCCCTTCGGGTGGGCCAATGGGGTTGTACTTGAAATGCAGTGGGGTTGGTTGAGTTGCTGAAGGAAAGCTTGAAGTTGCGCCTGCAGAGACGAAGCCCCTTCCGCCACTGTTTGTGGCACTTGGCCAGGTGGTTGATGGTGTACTTGGGCAGCGACTGGTTGAGCTTGCAGTTGCACTGCTGCGGCCGGTTGCTGCCCGGCGAAGTACACTGGCGCATGTGCGGCTTGTGGCGGAAAGGGCTGTGTCGTCATTTGTGGATGGACTTGAGGTGGGACATAACCTGCCGAATACTGAAGGATTGGAGCCGACGTGGCCTTGACCCGCCTTGCCGCCTCGTATGCTTGTTGTTGTTCTTGCATTTGGCGAAGCATGTCTTGGAGCCGTGTCATGTTCTGTCGTGTGGCTTCCATGTCGGCTTCGGCTTGTGTTTCGGGGTCAGGGCTGACCTGGGCCTGCTCAACACCGAGCGCAGTTGGGGCCGCTGCTGGCTGCGATGGAGCGGCTTGGGGCACCACCAGTTGGCTTGTCGAAAGGATCTCCGCCTTGGTCTGGAGCGCCCTTGCCGCCGCAGCCGCCTTCGCCACGTCGGCCGCGTTCGGCTCTTGCACAGAGGTTGCAGGGGCCGAAGACGGTTGTGATGGCGCTTGTCCTCCTCCATCTTCGGCCACGGGCGCCGAAGGCTCTGCTCCTTCCTCGGCGGCCATGTCCGGTCCGGAGTCGCTTTCCTTCCGCCTGGCAACCTTCTCCTTCATGACCCTCTTCGGTGGCATTCGTTCTCAGTGGTTTCGCTCGGAGGTCCCCACGGTCGGCGCCAGCTGTTGTCGAAATGACAACTGCATACGTCGAAAGACGTGGTTACTCAATAGTGGTTGGAAGGAAACGAGGTGTATTGAATCTTAAATTTCTTCCTCTCTTTTTTATCCCCCCATTACATGGCCCTAGGGGACTATTTATAGCCCCATTATAGGTTCTTGCTACTAGGGTTTAGGTTATACAGGGGAATTTACATGATTACCCTTACGAAAAGGGACATTTACAGGGGTACATAATGTTATAGGGGCTCATGGGCCCCTGATGGGCCGTCTAGCGATCGCCGGCCCTATAGACCCTAGACTTGATGGGCTGGAAAGGCTTCTTCGGCCCTCGCGGGGGCGAACTTGCTATGGCGAAGTCGTCTTCCTTCGGTAGATAGTCTTCGCCTTGCACCCTTCGCCTGAGACGCCTCTGGCCTGGCAAGGCACTCGTACGACTCTTCGCCTCACGCCGTTCTTGCTTCATAGCCTTCGCCACGGGTTTCGGCAGATTTGGTCGAGGGGCCTCATGCCATCCGCCAACATATTTCTATAAATATTGTCTAATAAATAGATTTGAAAAATTATCAAAGCGACACTGATGAGGATAAATTATGGATAAACAGTACTTTTGAAATGGCAAGTGTCGTCTGGTTGATATTGTCGACGTTTGATGTCGCGATTCCGGTATTTGCATAGTATGGGGATCGTTGGTACTAGGATATATGCGAGACTGAGGTAAAAGAGACAGAGACGAGGATTTTTATACAGGTTCGGGCACCTGAATTGTCAGGTAATAACTCTATATCCCGTTAGCCAAAGCCGGTGTTGCTCTTTATTCACCATAATCACGCCAGTACAATATTTGAGGTAGTCTATCTAGCTGTTGTCAACATGGCGGTCTAAAGGTCTGACTCGTAGTCGACAACAGGGTAGTCTTCCTCCTCGAATCCGTGCCCGACGAGATCAGAGATAGCGCTTTCGTCTTTCCTGACAGTATCCGGAGACACCGTAGGGGACTAGCCGTACTTATCCCTGAAGTCGATATCCGGCGTCTTGTCTTGGCGTATATTGGCTTCTATTGTTCCGTAGATTGTGGTGGGTGTTGATTGTCCGTGTCCCCTATTCTCCTAGGGGGCCTTGTATTTATACCCATATGTGTCCCCTTGTCCAAGTATAACTAGAGAAACCAATATGGATACAATCCGAGCAGTCCTTGTCGTTTCCATGTAGAACTCTTGTTTTCTTTCCTTATCTGGAACTCCCTCCATATCCAAGGTCAGTTTCCGTATAAGACATGGTATATGGTGGGTCCTGCCGAGATTTAATCAACTGCCATTAGGTATGTGGTATCCATAACCCTGACAAATATTTTGTCATTTTAAGTTTTTTTTCAAACATAATCTCTAATACATGTCCACGCATCGCGTGGGCTACCTTCATAGTTATTAAAATAAAAGATATATTCTCAAGTTTTTTTTAGCACGGGAGTATTTTGTGGAGCGGAAACCATCATTTTGTCAAATCGATACCGATGACGCTAATATTGATGTGTTATTATGTAGTAGTGGGGTTCCTTTTTTTTTTTGCCAGCTCATGGCAATTCTAGTTATTCTTTTCTTTTAAATTTTACACTATCATGTCAATAGTTAGTAAACGTATATATATTTTCTTTGAAATTTTAAATTCTATCGCATTTTATATATGCTGAAGAGAGATTGACCACTTATATCTCTGGTTGTCAGCGTCACGTGCGCCCATGACGAGTTACGTCTTTGCTTACATGTCCGATTAATTAGTTCGCGTCTATTACGTCTTTGCTTGGTTACGTGTGCGAGCGGAGTTAATTAAATATTAGCCGTGTGTGTGTGAGCAGAGTTAGCTATGTGCGGCTATAAATATGCAGCTAGTTCGCCCTCCCCTATACAAAAATAACCTGAGAGGATATTACAAGCTCTAGCGCTTGAACTCATTTGGGAAGAGACGCCATGGAGCCGGGAAGCATAGCCGAGCGTTTCAGAGATAGGAGCATACTCATCACCGGCTCTACTGGCTTTCTGGCAAAAAGTACTCTAGATTGTATCTAATCATAGTTACATGAGTAAATTGTATTTCGGGTCACCTTTTTATTATCGTAGTTTTACTTTGGATCACCCTAATCCAATCTTTTTATTTTAGATTAATTAGCTAATGTTATGTTTTACGTTTGTTATACTTTAGATCACTCCGACTCTCTTCTTTAGCCTTGTCCATTCTATACTCTCTCGTGAAGGTATGACTTTTTCAGATGTGAAGGATTTCATCGGCGTGCCAGAGCTGATATCCTCAATGTCGTTCATATGGTTGGTTTTCTATGGTTAATATGAAACAAACGTAAATTTGGCTAGTCCAAAGTGGAAATATTAAACTAGAGTGGTCCAAAGTGAAACTACGGTAATACAAGATGACCTAAAGTTAAACTAACTCTAGTTATAGACTGCATATTTATATATACTCCAATTCTTAAATGCTAATCTCTAGTTTTGATTGATTTTACTTTTGCATCATGTCAACTTTAACCGCTTAAATGAGGGTTTGTTTGGTTTGCTACAATACCAAAATATTGGTAATTTATACCAAAATCTAGGCAATATTTGGTAGCACCAATTTTTTGACAATTTATGTACGTTATTGGTATAATTTGGTATCAATACAAAATAACCCTATATATTTTTTTACGCTGATCGTCATCCTATAGCAAGCCATCCCTTCCACAAACTCATATCTTGGGAAAGCCCCATTCGTATCGCGATGGAGTCATACAAATTATGTGCATGACTTCACTATCTAAGGTTTAAATTTTATTTGTAAATATTATGCACACATATGAGTGCTTTGACTAAATGCATTAAAAGTTATTTTAGTCACCAGTAAAAATGTTTATGGTGGCAGGTAGTAATTAAAATTAGTTACTAAGTAGGTACTCCCTCCATTCCATAATATAAGGCACAGCCACTTTTCTTAGATGTTCCATAATATAAGACATGTATACAAGCATGCAATTAACCATAACATCTTCTTCATTAAATTACTATTTTTTAAAATCCTCCACTCTCATGTTATCTAATCCTATTGGATGCATGCATTATATTTATTAGGATGATCCAAACTACAAGATGATAATAGTTATTTCTTGGTCTTTGGGTTAAGGGTGGTTGTGCCTTATATTTTGGAACGGAGGGAATATCTGTGGACATACTTCAAGATCCTATATCGATATTATTTGTCGTGGGTTTTTCTTTTTATCATAAGAAATTGTATCTACCATGCATGTTTATATATTTATGTGTTGGTGGAGAAGATACTGCGAGTTCAGCCGGAGGTGAGGAAGCTCTACCAGCTGGTGCGTGCTCCAGACGCCGCAGCTGCCGAGGAGCGTGTTCTCACAGAGGTAAAACACACACACACACACGGATCTCACTATTTTTTTTGAAATGATTTTGCAAGCAAGAATGTGCATCTCTATTCGATTCCCTGTGTTTTAATTATATTACAAATCATTTTGGGTGTGTTAAGTTCATAGAAAAATGTAGTGAACCATTTCGACAGCCATACGACGGGGCTTTGGTGCCACTGGTGGAGAAACCATCTTTACTCCCTGGTTGGGAACCGCTTTAATCCCGGTTTTCCAACCGGAAGTAAGGATCCGGGACTAAAGATGAACATCTTTAGTCCCGGTTGAAATAAAGAGAGGGGATCTTAGTCTCGGTTGGTGTTACCAACCGGGACTAAAGAGACAATTGCAGGCAGTACAGCTGGTCCCTTTTTCTTTTTCTTTTTTCCTTTTTATTTTCTCCCGAATCAAGTAGGGAAATCCCCAAATAAATCCCCAAATCAAACTAACATCCCAAATTCACATCACCAAATCCACATCACAAATGATAAAGTTACTTATACACACAAATCAAATACATCACAATATCCTAAGAAATTACTCAAATACATCACAGATCCAAACAATGAATCACAAATTTGTAACTTCTCAGTCAAATACATCTCAGTGAATCATCACGAATTAAAAAAAAATGCCGCCGCAGGTCACCACGACCGCCGGGTGCGGCCCCGCCGCCCACCACGGCCGCCGCCGCCCGCCGCCCTCCGCCGGGCGCGGCCCCGCCGGGCGCCGCACCGCCACCCGCCACGGCCGCCGCCGCCTGCCGCCGGCCGGCCCGCCGGATGGGAAGGGGAGGAGGAAGGGGAGAAGGGGGAGGAGAGGAGGAAGGGGAGGAGTTGGAGAAGAGGGGATGAGGAAGATAATTAGAGAGGATAGATCTGAGGAGAGGGGATGAGATTTGATCTGTAACTGTGGATGAGAGGATAAGTGATAGGGATTATATACTACGTGTTTAATTTTAGTCCCGGTTCGTATTACCAGTTGGTATTACCAACCGGGACTTAAGTGGTGATCTTTAGTCCCGATTATTAACACCAACCGGGACTAAAGATCCTCGGCCCCCTGACATAAATCTGACAAGGGATGAACCGGGATTAAAGATCATCTTTTTTATAACCGGGACTAAAAACAATATGTAGTCTCGGTTCTTTTTGGATCAGGGACTATTGTGGATTTTGCCGGACCGACCAAAGATGGTTTCTCCACCAGTGTGCTCTGGTTTCAAAGGTTAGAAATACACGAATTGGCCAAAATTTTATATAATCTTTAACACGTAGATATATACATCAGCGTAAGAATGTATATGCATGAGTCATACCCATACCAAGCAATAAAGTGACTCACTAGCTATCACATTATCACATACCTTATATGTTCAAATTTAGTATAAACTTGTTTGAAGTAGCTAGTAAACAAGTTAATATTTATACTCATTTTATTTGGGGATGTACTCAATTTGAATATTGAGGCCTGGGTACCATTCTGCACAAATTATTTCATCCATGCATCTTTCTAATATGAAACATATATACCATAAAAAATATTTACTGGTGGGCTTAATGAAACTAATTTGATGATGTAAATACTTCTATATTTTTCTATATACTAGGTCAAATTTAAGTTTTGAAGTAGTTTGACTTAGCACGAACTCCAAATTATGTATAATGCGGAATGTGGGAGTAGAATATATAGCATATGAATACTAATTCTTAGTGCAAAAAGCTGGGTATGCTTTCGATTGCTTAATGAAATCCCCATTATTGAAAAGGTTATGAATCTTAAGAGTTTCATTTCATCATCGCAGGAAAGATGCTAGTTACCGGTCTATTATAAACAAACAGTGTTATCTAGGATTGTCGGTTTACTTCGCATTCCCAACCTAAAACAATTTGAACAGGTTTAACACATGTATCAGCCTATCAGGGAGATTCAACTTCGGTGAAATAATTAAGAGGAATTAATCAAAATGAGTTTATTTGTTGCTATAGGTTGTTGGAAAAGGTCTATTTGATGTTCTGCGAAAACAACACGGTGCTGCTTTCTACTCCTTCATCAAGAAAAAAATATGCCCTCTAGCTGGAGATGTCATGCATGAAAACTTTGGACTTGGGAGCTCTGAGATCCTGCGGTTATCACACGAGGTCGACATCATCGTCAATGGAGCTGCAACGACCAACTTTATGGATATATATATATATATATATATATATATATATAGGAAGGCTATTATGTACTCCCGGGAGTACATACTCCCTACCCTCATACCGTTGATTACCTTTGAGATTTGTACCTGATAACGGGTTAGCAGTGAAGGGGACGTGCGGTATCTACCCATTAGTGGATCGTGGATGGCATTTTGTTTTAAAAATTGAATTAATTGACTGCTCGTGTATAACTAATCCCTGAAGAATCGGTCTGTACGCAGGTAGTGGGCGGTGAGGAATGGTATTTAAATCATCAAACCACATACTGCTTCATTTGTTCAGGGCTGCAGGAACTTGGTTTGGACCTCCGTAGTCCAGCTCGAGGATACGCCGCCGCGCGGCGGTGCTGATTTAGGATGGATAAACAAGTGAAGAACCACAGACCTTCTGTTGGTACGGATGGATCAAGGTATGTTGTTCTGTTTCAGTGATTTATTTCAGTATGTGCCGCTGGTTTTTTTTCTCTGAATTTCACCGTGTGAACTTGAGCAATTCTAAATCATCAATTCAGGGAAATTCTTATGGACGAGCGCAACCCTACCATGGACATAGTAGATGGTATTAGTCAATCTGTCCATGATTCACAACCGGATGGTGGTCAGTCAAGGTTGGATCGTAGCTTCCGTGAATTTAAAACTCTGTAAATGGTAGCCAGATACTGACACATCTTGATTGTGTTATGAAGCCGTGTAGCAATGGAGGAGGACGTGCCGTCGCGGGTTGGCTCACATGATTCAGGGCATGGAATTCCAGAGACAAGGTATGTGCATGGCTAGGTGTCAGCTGAGCATTCACTTTAAAGCAGTATATACTACATAGAAATGTTCAGTATGTGTCACATGAGAAAGTTCAGTATATGCTATCTTCTAGGAAAGTTCAGTATGTATCACATAGAAAAGTTCAGTATGTGCTATATTGCAGAGGAGTTCAGTATGTTGCACAGAAAATTCAGAACATACTATATGCTGTCGTATAACAAAGTTCAGTACATAGCCTCCCATAGAAAAATTCAGTATATATGTGAAAAATTCAGTAAATACTGGTGCGTATCAAAGTTCAGACTACGAATCACTATGGAAAGATTTAGTATACATGTGGAAAATGCAGTATATGCTATCGTCTAGAGAAATTCAGTACGTAACCCATAGAAAAATTCAGTACATACTATCATTCAACATAAATCAGAAAGAACCCCTCCATTTTAAAAAATGAGTATATACAATCATCTAACAAAGTTCAGAACAAAGCTCCCCATATTTTTTTGTTAGTAGTACAACATATATTTTTTTTAAATTTGCAGTAAGTACTGATTATAAATTAGGTTGTTTTTTTAAACTACATTTTCAGTTAGTAGTAGTATATGCTATTTTTAAATATAGTGTCTCCAATACAGAAATTTGGTCCCTTCACTGGATTGGACAGAAGGAAACCCATATGAAAAAGAAGGAGCTGGGATACCGATGGAAAGGTTTGTATCAGCATGTTACGGATTTTTACGATTTTTTTTGAGCCAGGATATTGGTGGTATTTTCTGAAAACTGATTGTACATTTTCTTTTCAGAATGGTGGTAGATAATGTTGATAGCAGTGCTGTCATACCTCCTGAGTATGCTGATCCTCAAATTCTTACTCCGATGCTGGGACAAAGATTTAAGACTGAGAGGGATGCCTATAATTTTTATAATGTTTATGCTGTTAGTAAAGGATTTGGGATACGACTGGACAAAGATCGCATGAATACTGAAAAGCAGAGAACAATGCGGCAAATATGTTGTTCTCACCAGGTACATACATTATGTAACAATATCTTAGTAGCAGAAATTTACCTAAATAAAGACTTGACGTACTATGTGTTAATTTCGAAATCTTTTATGCAGGGGAGGAACCCAAAAACCAAGAAGCCTTCCGTTCGAATTGGGTGCCCAGCAATGATGAAGATAAATAGGTCTGGAGCTGGTAGTGGCTGGTCAGTAACAAAGGTTGTTTCTACGCACAACCATCCTATGAAAAAAAGTGTAGGAGTTACTAAGAATTATCAGTCGCACAATCAAATAGATGAGGGGACTCGTGGTATTATTGAAGAGATGGTAGACAGTAGTATGAGTCTTACAAATATGTATGGTATGTTGTCTGGGATGCATGGCGGACCTTCCATGGTTCCATTCACGAGAAAAGCTATGGATAGGCTTGCTTATGCAATTAGGCGGGATGAGAGCAGCGATGACATGCAAAAAACACTTGATGTCTTGAAGGATTTGCAAAAAAGGAGCAAGAATTTCTTTTATAGTATACAAGTTGACGAGGCTTGCCGTGTGAAGAACATATTTTGGTCTCATGCTGTGTCCAGATTGAACTTTGAGCATTTTGGTGATGTCATCACATTTGATACTACCTACAAAACAAACAAGTATAATATGCCCTTTGCACCATTTGTTGGTGTAAACAATCACTTTCAGAGCACCTTCTTTGGTTGTGCCCTGCTTAGAGAAGAGACTGAAGAATCATTTACATGGTTATTCAATACATTCAAAGAGTGCATGAATGGGAAGGTTCCTATTGGAATATTAACAGGTATGTGAGTATTTGGCCGAATTTATAATTTGGAATGAATTCGTTATACTTTACTTATTTTAAGTATATGATGGGTTATTCATTGGATGCTTATTGTTGTCCTTAATTTTGCAGACAATTGTCCTTCCATGGCAGCTGCCATTAGAACAGTATTTCCCAATACAATCCATCGTGTGTGCAAGTGGCATGTACTGAAGAAAGCAAAGGAATTTATGGGGAACATATACTCCAAGCGTCATACATTCAAGAAAGCATTTCATAAGGTTCTTACGCAGACACTAACAGAGGAGGAGTTTGTTGCGGCTTGGCACAAACTGATTAGAGATTATAATCTGGAAAAAAGTGTTTACTTGCGTCACATATGGGACATAAGGCGTAAATGGGCATTTGTATATTTTTCCCATAGGTTCTTTGCTGGGATGACTACTACACAGAGAAGTGAGTCTGCAAACCATGTGTTTAAGATGTTTGTGTCACCCTCTAGCTCTATGAATGGCTTTGTTAAGAGGTACGACCGGTTTTTCAATGAGAAGCTGCAAAAAGAGGACTCGGAGGAATTCCAAACCAGTAATGTAAGTATCCACTGTGATAGGTTTGTTGACCTCTTTTTATGGATATGTGTAATCAACATTTGGTGTCGCTTGGTGCAGGACAAGGTTGAAATTAAAACAAGGTCACCGATAGAGATTCACGCATCCCAAGTATATACTAGGGCTGTTTTCCAATTGTTCTCTGAGGAGTTAACCGATAGTCTATCTTACATGGTGAAACCTGGGGAGGACGAAAGCACCGTGCAAGTTGTACGGATGAACTCGCAAGAATCATTCCTTAGGAAGGAATATCAGGTGTCTTGTGATTTGGAAAGAGAGGAATTTTCATGCGTTTGCAAGATGTTTGAGCATAAGGGGATTCTGTGCAGCCACATCTTAAGGGTATTTGTTTCTTCTACTGTCTAAACATTTATTTTCATTGGGTCGTACTATATGTTCGGTAGTGTTTGGCTTTTTGAAGTAATGCATTGGTTTGTCCCTTTAGGTACTTGTTCAGTATGGTTTGTCAAGAATTCCAGAGAGGTATATATTGAAAAGATGGACGAAGGATGCTCGGGATACTATACCACCTCATCTACATGGGTACAAAGATGATGTCGATGCTTCACAATCGAGGAGTTACAGACATGTAATGCTGAATAGGAAGACTGTGGAGGTGGCTAAGATTGCTAACAAAGATGTGCAGACATTTAAGATGGCAATGACAGTCATGAATAAGCTTTTGGAGGACATGAAAAATCAGTTATCTTTGGATGATGGTGACAATAGTAGAGAAGCTCCGAAGCGAGCAGCTAGGCATAAATCAAGGTCTACTGTATTGACTGAAGATGGAAACGAAGAAGTTGGTGGAGGTGATGAGGACAGTGAGTATGACGTGCCAAGTGAGGACGAGGGTGGAAATTTGACTGCTGATATACTTCCACCGTTGAAAAAGAAAAGCAGAGGAAGACCTAAGGTGAATAGGTATAAATCGGGTGGTGAGGTTGCCAGCCTGAAAAGAAGAAAAGAAGTAGGGATTGAGAAGAAGAACACAACCAATGAGTGTGAGTCCGTTGAAGAAGAAAACCAAGTCATTGATCATGAGGATGAAGTGCCCTTTCCTCGTAGGTTTTGCCACACATGCCACGAAGCTGGTCATAATTCGCGGACTTGCGGCCGGACATCTACGTACAAGAGAAAACTTTAGAATATGGTTCCCTGTAGTTTAGTTGGGACTCCTCTGATTGTTAGAAGTTGTTTTGTTTTAAGTACGTGAACAAATTTTTGAGAGGCGTGTGTTTTTTCATCCTATGAGCAATTTATTAAGATTATGTAACTTGTGGATTGGTCAGTATATTCGACCTTAAGTAAAGTATGCTTCTAGTAGTAAATTGTGTCTTTTTTGGGTAGTGTATTTGCACCGGTTAAAAATGGATGTCTGCTGTAATTAGTTTCATTTGGATGATGGTGCTTTCTCTATAAAGAGAGAAAGAGATATAGTATACTGGTATTTATGACGATCATTGTTTGCAAAAGGAGTGTGATTTGGTGTGGATATGAGTTGTTTTTTTTAGGTATGGAGATAGAAATTAGCTGTGCAATGTATTGAATCCTCCCGTTCACTGAAATGGACATAATGATCGATAGCAATTGACTCGTTATCACGCAGAGTCAATGACATAATTTACGCAGAGTCACCGCATATATTGAATCCTCCCGTTGAAAATGATAAATGGAAGTAAATGACATACTGTTATTGTTTGGCATAGTGAATAATTTCCATAGCACAGTTCGTGCAACTGTCATTGCAACCCAGACGATACTTTGTCCATGCATAGCAATGTTTTCATGATTCTGTCAAGATAGGACAGAAGTGTATTTCGAAAATTACATGAAAATGTTCTGGTAAAGCTAGAAGTAGAAAATCGCTAAACTAATTGTCTTTAATTTGTCGAAGACGGTCCACCACATATTCTGGTAGTATTGCCTCGTTATCACGCAGAGTCAAAAGGTGGATCAAAAATTGCCTCCGGAGGTAGTACGGGTCCTGCGAAAGTTAGAGTATTTTCTTTATAGCTTTATGAGGACATATTTATGGTGGAGTGCGGTGTGTGCGGATATGAAAGCATTATGTACCTCTGTAATAGGGTTCAGAAGACGACGACCATCGTAGTTCACCATAAAGTTGAATACGTAAAAGCCACAGTCATCCCTGTATGTTTTTGAGAAAGTAGTGTCAGTACAAGCTTTGGGTTGGTTGTATTTCGTTTGTTTTAGGAGTCACTCACCCGTTCTGCTGCTCTGGTATATTTTCAACTGTCTCAAAGTCCCAATTAAGTATGTCCATGTTCCACCCTGGAGATGCAAGACGCATGCATTCCATTACACACTGTGACACCATGATCTTTATCTTGTCATGCCTGGTGAAACGTGATTCCCCGAGTGGATCTTCTGTGTTTAGTGAATCAAGCACCGATAACTTCTTGCTCTCCATGTTAAATACGTACAGCACATAATGATTGAATAGGTGAACAGGAATCAGTATCTGCAAAGTTTAGGTTTTTCAGTGGGACTACTTCTGTACTATTGTTTACAAGAGTTTCTACAATCTACGAACTGCAAATTTGTACTCACCAGGTGGCTTTCTGAAACATCATATACTACCTCTGGGCCCGAGAAGTGTGCAAGTTGATGGCTAGCTTCCCAAAATTCCTCACCAGCTAGCGCGTACATCTGACAATACAGAAAGAATCATTGAATTTATATTTTTATTAATGAAAGAAATATATTGTTTATTGCATGCAATGTTACCCCAAAATCTTGGTTAATAAAATGCCTCCAACCAAGGTAGTTTGTGTTGTGAAATCTCTCAACTTCTTGTTGGAACATTATTCGAATTGCAAGGTTGAGAGAATCTGAATCCATTTGGCTCCCAATCTTTATAGTTTCTTGGATGTTTCGTAGCGTCAATGATATTCTGAAAGGATGGGAGCTCTGCAGCCATGTTTTTCTGAAATAAACCATGGATAAAAATGAATGTCAGATTTGGTGGGGTGAGATACTTAATTATTCTGGAAGAAGAATGATACTTACTCTAATGATGCATCGTCAGAAATAGACATTATATAGGAATACAGGTCGTCAGCAATCCTAGATTCCAGCCTCTCCGTTGAGCATTGCTTTGACATGAAAGGTGACATGAGCTTCCTGTTTGGTTTGACTACACGCTTTGACTTGTGCTTCAGCAAGTGAGATGGCGGGTTTTCAACAGTGTATTTGCGCTTCTTCTGCCCGTCGCTACCGAATTCTTCAATTAGCATAATGGAACATTGGTTAGTCATGCGAGTTCCCGACGTAGGCGATACTGAAGAATTTGGCCTTTTTTTCGAATCTGAAAACATTCGCATGATCAGGAGTAAACACATTGTTGGTTGGAATTTTTAATCTTTTGGTACACCAACCTGGAGCTCCATTAGATTTTGGAGGAGTACACTGCAAGCCTCCAATTTTGTGATCATATTGTTGGGTATCTGATACATGAAGAGCGTAAGAAAATTTGTTAGAGTGTCAAGTAGTACGAGTTTTATTTTTAAAATGGTGTATGTACTCAACGTTACCTGTTGGTTGATCCAATTGACTAGCATCTTTTGTAGCATGTGTGGAGTAGTTTGTGGGTGTGTGGTATCCCATGGCAGTTGTGTCTCCCCATGGATGGAGAGGCCCTTGTATATCCTCAATGGTATCAATAACTTTCGTTACTGCTGCCCTTATCGCTATCTTAACTGCCGCTGTAATATTAGTCTTGAAAGCTCTCTTGAATAGGTTAGATGCGTGAATAGCAGTTTGCATGGTGCTTATGTCGACGAAATCTGATATGGTAGGCAAAATCTCATCGATGCGGTCGAATCCATCCTGAACGTAAGATTTCAACTCCTCGTATGCCTGTTTTATGTTATCATATATACCACATGTTAGTTTAAAATCCCTTGATCATGTGAAAATTACAACTTAATGAAGAAACAATCAAGTAACATAGCATACGGATGGTTGACATACCTGTGACCCGACAGTTCCACGTACGTCTAACGAAGAGAAGTGTGATTCCAGGAATTTTATTAAATTTTTACCGCCATCAATGGCTCTAGATGGGATCTTCGAACCGGAGCATAAGTTTAGGGGAGATAGCTCTGGCACATGGGGGTTGTTTTCTCTTGGTTCCTTCATCAACTGAACAGCATGTATATCGGAAATTAGCTAAATTTTGCAGCCAGAAATAGGCATATTACAGCCAGGGTATCGTACATACCTGGAGTTTCCCATAACGAGGGAAGGGGAATCCTGGGTTATGTTTACTAACTACATCTTGTTGAATCATCCTAGCAATTTGATCATCCTCAAACTGAGAAATGTGACATGTTTTAACACATGTGATCCCAACCATCCGGAACTGGAGATTTCTCAAATATTTTACCTGCAAAAATGATTCACAATGACAATATGTGTGTTGATTGTATGCTGCATTAACAAGTCAGTTTTAAATGCTAACCATTAGAAAGATGATATACCCGTTAATGGATAGTTGAGCCTTATTCGGAAAGCAGGTGGGCATTGATTCTGCTGCTTTCTTCACCTCATCTACAACGAATTGGGACCAGTTGTACTGTTTTATATTGTCAACATCAGAAACAGCCATAATATACCTAGGAGATATGAAGTTTGCGCAGGATTGCGGTGCCAAAAGCTTCGTTGTGACATAAAGCACAAAAGCCGCCATGAAAACCCTCTTTTCATCTATTGTCATGGGATAACCATACTGCTTCTTTAGGATTCTCTCTAAGAGTGATATTTTCAGGTGTGAAAAGTTTGGTATCTCAAATATTTCGCACAATATTTGTTTCTTCCCATCCAATTCATCTTGAGAGCAAGGGATAATAGGTTGACCTGAGCATGGCAAGCCAAAAACTGCATTCACATCATTAGGACCGAATGGCAACTCCTGGTTGACATCTTTAACAATAGCGCATGATTTCGGATCAACTTTCCTCAGTAGCCATGCACCAAACTGCCTGTTTACCTTAGTAAGCTTGATATCCAAAAGTCCATCAAACCCAACTTCACCAATCAACTCCTTCTTCCTATCATCGAATTCTTTAATGATATTCACTACGCATTTGGGCTGACACCTGCAGTTGATACCAAAGGTAGTGTTGTCTTTCTTCTGTCTATTTAAAACTCTGCTTTGCCGATACCTGGATACCACCCGTGCAGCAGTCTTATTTAGGCTGCCCCTTGTGCCAGAAACCTTCAAAGCCTGCAGATAATTAGTTTTTCATTTCATAAATAGACAATACTACATGGACCAGTGTATTTAAAAATTCAACATATACTTCTGTTTTTTAAAAAAAAACAGCATACACTCATATATGTATGGAAAGATGAAGTACAAAATACTGCGTAGCAAATTCTACCTATGTGTACCCTCTTAATTAAAAAAAATCATGTGCACTGAAAGAAAAGTCAGTATATGCAAAGTTTAGAGAATATTACTGTATGTAAAAAATCAGCATATACCTCTCTATGTAAAAGTGCAGTATATACTTCTTCGTAACAAGGTCCAGTATGTAAACCACTATGGAAAAGCCTCTGTATATATGTGGAAAAATGCAGTATATGCTATCGTCTAGAAAAATTCAGTATATCTGTGAAAAATTCAGTAAATACTGGTGCGTATCAAAGTTCAGTCTATGAATCACAGTGGAAAGATTCAGTATAGATGTGGAAAATGCAGTATATGCTATCGTCCAACAAAGTAGAGAATAAAGCTCCCCACATAAAAATTCAGTATATACTATTGCCTAACAGAGAGTTCAGTAAGAACCCTGCCACACCAAAAATCAATACTTAATACCGTCTAGCAGATTCCAAAAAGTTTCCCTCCAAAGAAAAAATGAGTATATACCGTTGAAAATTCAGTACGTACTACCATCTACATTTTTCTTTATGGGGGTGGGGGCTAAAACAGCATTAACTTCATCCACCCAAAAAACCATCATATGCACTAAAAGGGGAAAAATTAGCATCTGAAACTGAGAGAGTACATGAACCGAACTACACCTAATCCCTCTCTACAGGCATACATGTATTCAATTTCAGGTGGCATACCTTGGACTGTGGTGACAAACTAATTTTCCTGTGACCCTGCGGCAAAGAAGAAAATTTTAGGCAACGTGTCTTGATCTTGCCGTACAAAAATAAACGAATACTAACCTGCTGCTTTGGATGAAATCCACTGCTATGGCCCATCGATTTTGCCATTGTTGCCCCGCTCCTGCATTCAGCCGACTCTAGATCGATTACTTCTGCTTCAGGAACACATGCTGTTGAGAGAGGATCCATCGCTGGAGGAAGGGGAGGAATCATCACTGGAGGAAGGAACGAACTGCTATCTCTGTACCGCCGCCAGCCACACAGTCGCCGCTGAATCGCTGGTCCGTCGCCGCGCCGCCCCCCAAAACCCCGAAAGCTGAATCGCTGGTCCGTCGTCGCGCAGGTCCGTCGCCGCGCCGCCCCCCAAAACCCCAATTTTCGGGATAATCTGTTTGGCCTGTTGGGAGCAAACCCCAAATTACGGGATAAGCAGTCCGGTCTTTTAATTAGAAAAACTAATCGGATCCACTGAGCCAAACCCGTTATGATGAGGGAGGGAGTACATATCTGATCGATCAGATGAACGGTGGATGGGAGAGGGAGTACGTACTCCCTAGGAGTATAGAACCATTTTCC